TAGTCCAGTGCTTCCAGGTTTTCCATGGTTATCTAGCTTCAATTAACTTATGATCTCAACTATTTTGTTTTTGTTAAAGATCAATATTAAACGAAATCACTTTCGTTTTGCCAACACTTCCTTCTCTTGATAAATTGAATTTTAATCTGTGGTATAGGTTGACCCTAATAACTTTGTTTTGTCGAGAATGTTTAACCAGTTATCCATCCATTCGATGGATGAATGTTGAATGTCAGTGTAGATTTCATCAGAACCTTCATTCAAAATAATAAATTTTTGTTTATTTATATTTTAAGTTTGAGATGTTTAGTCGATGTGGATAGTTGTGGATGTTTCCGATAAAATGTTCAGCAAACACTACGCTCAAGTATGCAGGACTCGTTCACTAAATAAAAGAAGATATCTGAAGGTGATGGATACAACATACTGAATTGTTACCTACTGTAAAAAAAGAAATTCATTCTATATTATAAAGTTGAGTTCATAAGTCAATTGAAGTTAGATAGCCATGGAAAACCTGGAACTATTGGACGAACGTTTCGTCCTATTGTGGAACTCCTCAGCATTCTATTATTACTAAGAAGGAAATGTATATAAACAGTGAGACAATGTCTTACAATGAAATTGATGTTGCAATCATAATATAAAGATGAATCAATTTTATTGTTAAAATGATCTAATGATTTTTAAATACGTTTTTCAACTAAGTGGATTCATAAACAAAGGTGGATAGTGGCTAGCAGTGGAATCCAGAACGCGCGTTTCGTTGTATTTGGGACTCGTGAGCTGGATGTATCTGCATTTCAGAGTTGATGTTCACTTTGAGAACAACAACAAGTGAATATAACTTCATCCCATTGCACAAGCAGGTGACTATCAGGACTCAGTAGCTAAGTGGATAACGTAATGAAGTCTAAAACAAACGGTACTGGGTTCAAGTCCCAGAGTAAACATCAAAAAGTCTGAGATGCATGTACACCCATCTAACCAGTCCCAAATAAGACGAAACGGGTGTCAAACTGGATTCCACTACTAGCTACTATCCATCTTTGCCTATACACCTTGTGATTTCAAGCGATATCGAGGCAGTCCTCATAAGATGCACATATGCCAATAAGAGACTGATCAATTGCAGTCCTAACAAATCGATGGGAAGATACAAATAAAACAACAACAAATGAATTAAATGAATTCATTTTATATGCTTTGAATTCCTCATACACTTATTGTTGTTTAGATACAAATAAAGGGTTTTCACAAATGTAATTTTCAACAAAAGTAATGGTAATTCCATTCATTTGTACGATTGTTTAAGTCTTCCTGTTATTGATATTATAGACTACAATCGATCAATCTCTTCCAATCTTAATAATGAAACTAAGTTATCAGAACTTAAGATGAAATTGAGCATTGACTTGAACTGATACTCAGGATGTGCATTTCGTTCTGTTGGGGACTTATCAGATGAATATGCTTTACATCTAACTGTTCATATTGACACTTAAATTTAAATTTCAAGAAGACTGATCATATTCAATTTGTAACATCTAAAGAGTCAAATAGTTTTTTTTTTCTAAATGGATCAAAATTCATCCCATTTTATCATTTAGTGACTGTCTGAACTTAGTGGTTAAGTAGATATCACGATAGAGTTTGAAGTGAATAGTAATGTGACCGAGTTGTAGTGTAAAAAAATAAATCAATAATATAGTCTTGGTGCATTCAGTAGACGAGTCCCATATAGAATGAAATGCACATCTTGGAATCCATTGGTAGCCACTATCCAATTCCATTTATGAATTTGATAAAGTTTAATGATAATTCTTTAGTAATGCAAACACAAAAAATACGTTATAAAGTATAGGGAATTCCTTTTCTTTGATCTACATCAAAATCTTCCAAATATGGTAAGCAGTATGATATGAATTGTATTAGTTACCATGTAAACAACCTTGAATTTGTTATTAAGCTAGTGATAATAATGATAATAATTGTTGAATAAGCTAAGAGAAGTACTTGGTCAAATATTCTATTGAATTATATTTGATTGTTGAAATAAGTTCTGATAGCCATAAATTACTAACTAGAATGGTAATCACGATCATCTTTTCATTTGTACATGCTACACACACTTGATTAAGTCATAGTCTTTCTCTCTCTCTCTCTCTCTGTGTGTGTAACATATGCGCCACACAAGTCATTTGATTTGTGTGTAGGTTTCCAGACTGATGTAGGTGGTTTTTGTAGGGGGACCACACTCGAAGCCTTCAACGTTGTTATAAACTGTAAGGATACTACTTATAACTCTAGGGTTCCTGCTTATTACAGTCCTTTCACTATTTACAAGTATATGGGACGCTAATTTACCTTGGACGAATATCTACACTAGATTCCTACCCAGTGTCTATTCTACAGGACTTCAACACAACTCAGATCAAGAACACGAGATTAGCCTGACTATAACGTCAATTTATTTACAAACAAAATCCGACACAAGGAACAGTTAATCAATAACATTCAAGATAAGGGAATATATAACACATATAACACCTGTCACACTATCTAAATATCTGACTCATCAAGACAACCAATTATTGTCATTTTCGCCCACACATCAGACGTTAAGGTCTGATACACAAGGCTGTGGAACAACGTAAGGAGGTGCAAACCCACGGTAAACAGTGACCAACAATTAGTTCATTCACGATCTTGAAGACCATGTTCAGAACTGGTCTGGAATGGGTGTTTTCCAACTCTCCTAAGTGTGTTCTCCGTGCCCACCAACCCGTTTAAAGCCCCCATCGGACATTCACTTTTCATCATTTCAATTTCGTAAACAACACTCGTAGTGCGATAAGGGCAGTGATTAGGACATATGTGGCAGCGGCTTTATAGACATGTCCATGTGAGAGCAGGGTGAACTCTCTCCACCTTCGGCCGTACCAGGGCATTTAGGATGTAGAATGTACTGATAATTAATTTTTTTAAACGAAAATTACATTTGTGAAAACCTGTTATTTGTATCTACACACCAACAAGTGTATGAGAAATTCAAAGTATATGGTATGAAATTCATTCATTTAACCCTATAATGTTCATTGTTCGTGCTTAGTAGACATTTACCAAAAGAGCTGGTTGCATGATAAGTTCTATTTATTGAATGAATGGAAAAAACATTTATGGTCAAACTCTTGAATCGAAATAGTTTAATGCTACTATCATTTATGTTTTACTGATAATAAGAACATCATGAAGCAAGCCCTAACTTGGAATCCGGAAGGGAAACAGAAAAAAGGAAGGCTAAAGAACACATTACGTCAGGGAAAAGAATGAATAACAACTAGAAAGAATTAGAAAGGATTGTCCAGGACAGAGTTGGATGGAAAATGGTGGTGTGTGGTCTATGCTCCTCCACGAGGGGTAACAGGCATAAGTAAGTATAAGTAAGTGATAATAAGAAATTAAAAAGTAAGCAGACAAATCTCTAAAGGAATCTATAAAAAAAACCCTCTTATTATATACATAAGGAGCTGATAAGTATTTGGAAATATTGATTAAATTTATTGATTTTTGTTAAACACAAGATCAGCATCAGAAGATCACGGATACAGTAGAGTGTTTATAACTTAAAATAAGATCTAATGTTAACTTAAACATAGTCCTAGTACGGGACTCTCTAGTGAGTGTTCACCCATAACCCGTAATCTCAAGGGGTCGAGCCAAGGAAAGTTCGTTTGATGTTCGCCGGTATCCAGTTGTGGACATATCTATATTCAATCAATTCACCATATTTTTCAAGTATCCTAAATTAACTGTGGTGAATACCTGTCTGAATAACGAGAGAAAATCCTGAATTCGATCCTCTATGATAGAGCTGTGGTTTTTTGCTGTCACTAAGACGTTTAGCACTAGAACAAAACAGGTGTCTAGTGGTACTGATTTTCATTGATGGTTTATCTAAGATCAGTTTATGACTAATACTATGAAAATAAAATTTTTGTAAATGCTAAAAATGAATTCAGTTTTTAAGAACAATGGAGTCTAGATTAACGAAGAAATCATGAAGAAGTCAATCCAAACTATCAACCCAGTTTTGAGACGTCAATCAGTCACATGGTTTGGAGTCAACCAAAGAAAAAAACTAGCAATCAACCTGACACGTTTTGTGTTTTAAAGAGATAATTACACAGTTCATATGAATGTACACTCAATCAAGTCATCAATAGAATGAAAGATACATTGGGAATCCTTACACTGATCATTGAAAATGATAAATATTTCTCTTCCATTAATAACATATTTAGTTTAACTAACGCAATTACACTTGATGGGGAAGCTCTGGAAGATATGGAATCTTTCACCTACGTATGAAGCATCAATGATGAACAAGGAGGAACGGTTGAAGATATAAAGACAAGGATTGGAAAAGGAAGGACAGTATCCCTACAATTGAAAAACATATAAAACTCAAAACAACTGTCTGTTAACCAACATCAAAGTCATAATCTTCAATACGAATGTCAAACCAGTTCTACTATACGGAGCTGAAACTTCGAGAACTACTTCAATCATCATCAAACAGTTTAAAAAATTGTCTACACAAGATACTCAATGTCCATTGACCGGATATCATCAGCAACAGTATATTGAGGGAAAGAACAAACCAATTTCCAGGTGAGAAGTAAATTAAGAAAAGACAATTAAAGTCGATAGTTCATACATCTAGGAAATCATCAAACTGCATCATAAGGCAAGCATTAACTATAAATCCAAGAGATAAAAGAAAAAGAGGAAGACAAAAGAACACAATACGTTAGGGACTGGAGTTAAACATGCCGAGGATGAATAAGAATTGAAAAGAACTGGAAAAGATTGTTGAGAACAAAATTGGATGTAGAATATTGATGTACAGCCTATTTCTCCTCCAATATGAATGATTATCCGTTTAAAACAATCATATTCATATAATAATAATAATTATTAATATATAATTAACTTACTTCATGTATTTCACGTTTATAATTAGTTTTTCTTTTTTGTGTTGATTTTAATTTACATGCATAGCAACAACCAGTTTTATAATAATCTGTATCCGTTATTGATTTTTTATTCCGTTTAGGCATATGTTGATCAATAGTTTTTTTTTATATATATTATTATTAATATTATCACATCACATATATATAAGGCACAAATACATAAATCAAAGAAAATTTATCCGATCAAGATTTTTAAAAAAAAATTTTTTTATTTTTTTATTCTGAAAAAAAAATAGGGTGGTGGGGTGTTGCCACATAGTTACAATATTCAATCATTATTATCTTCGATTACAGGTTAATGTTTGATCTAAATATTCAATAAATCGATTCTATATGACCAATATGATCCTAATCTAAGAATTAAAAAATCAGATCATTTGGTGAATCGATTGTTTGTTTGTTTGTTTGTTTGTTCCCTTCACTATGATATAACCATGTTGCTAATGAGACAGTTCATTGTAGAAAGAATCATTTTGAACAATGAATAAAATGAGTTAAATTTTATATAGTTACTATGCAAAATATCTAATTTAATCCAATAAGATAAATTGAAGATAGGATTGGTGCATATTTGTTTGTTTGTTGGTTTTTTTTTCGTCTATCATGAATATAACCTTGAAAATCGAATAGCAATTCCCGCTTTATTGAAGGTCATTTGAAATAATTTCGTCTAATAACCAATCAGTGTTTAGATTAGACAATTAAATAGAATAATTCACATGTATGAAAAACTAGTTACAATGAGAGTGTTTAACTGTAAGCAAATATGGATGATAGCAAGCAATGGAATCTAGGACTCGAGTTTTGTCCTATTTGCCACTCATCAGATTTGTTGATGTTCACTATAGGACTCGAACCTAGTACTGTTCGCTTCAAACGTCATCGCGTTATCCACTTAGCTAGTGAATCTTGATAGCCATTTACTTGTGCAATGGGGTGTAATTTAAATTAACTACGTATTGTTTGGTTAAATCTTCATACTGATGTTTAAGACTTTAGTTGATCAGTCTCCTATTGGCATATGTGCATAACGTGTGCATTTCTTTGATATTGCCTCAATTTACAAGCATTTTATGTAAAGATGAATAGTGGCTAGTAGTGGAATACAGAACTAGAGTTTTGTCCTATTTGACACTCATCAGTTGGATGTACTTGCATCTCAGATTTGTTGATGTTCACTATAGGACTCGAACCTAGTACTGTTCGCTTCAAATGCCAGCGCGTTATCCACTTAGCCATTGAGTCCTGATAGCCACATGCTTGTGCAATGGGGTGAAGTTTCAATTCATCTGGAAACAAAATAAAGCTGATTTAAACATTGAATAATTTGTTCAAATAAAATGGTTATTCGCAGAGATGGATAGTGGCTAGCAGTGAAATCCAGGACGCGCGTTTCGTCCTATTTGGGACTCGTCAGCTGGATGTACCTGCATCTCAGAGTTGATGTTCACTCTGGGATTCGATCCCAATACCCTCGCTTCAAACGCCAGTTGCAGTCCTAACAAATCGATGGGAAGATTCAAACAAACAATACTAAGTTGAATTTAAAATGGTTGTTCTGTTGTTTGTTTGTTTGTTCTTTCAATGGAACCAAACATAATAATTCCTTTGTTGTTGTTCTGGTCAGAGAAAATAAACCGATGAATTATTATCAGAATGGGAGAGGGTTTGGATATAACAGTAATTTTGTTTAATAATTGAATTCATGAGTCGATTAAAGCTAGTAGGTAGGCGCATAGCATTGGATGACGTTCATCGTAATGCCCTCTCTCTTTGTTCTGAAGGAGGCTTTGATGATCCTTGGTCCATGAGATTCACATCCAATAAGTGCATTTTGTGCTTTTCTGGATAGCATCAATGTCACTCCTTGTGTATGTGAGGCATTTTATTCTTCATGACCGGAGTATAACAGAAGTTCTTCTGAAGATAGTCGTTGTTGTCCAACCTGCTTCCAATGTGTCTCACTGATCCCAAGCACCTCCAGTTTGTATTTTCTAATTTCTGCAGCAACTTGGAAGACTCTTCCGGTCTCCCACATTGTCCGGACATTCCATGCACCTATAAAAATTGTTGTTCTGGTTTTTAAAAGGGACATCAGCTTCGTGAATTCCGAAAAATCTCTGCTTTCATCCTGAGGCATCGTGATTGTTCCTTCAACTCCCAGGGAAGAGTTTTTTTCTGGTTAGCGTTATTTTTAGCTAGTCGGTTTTCTATGGGATAGGATCGTTAACCCCATTCCCAACCCTCCTCCTTTACCCAGGCTTGGGACCGGCAGTAGCCCCCGGAGGAGCTACAGGAGGAGATGATTAAGGCTAGACCATCATGATATACCTGGAAGCATTGGATAGTCGTTTCGTCCTAGTATAAGACTACTCAATCGTGCGTACCAAGGATCCTGCACACGAGATTCAAACTCAGGACCTTCGGTTTCACAGGTTTGTTATATCCTAGTGAATACATGAGTAGGGGTAACCTGCAAGATCTATTAATGAACCATTATTCTATATATATTCTTATTGTTTAACTATTGAGTAATTAGATTGTGTATATCTATATTCATCTTATTATAAACTTCATTTTAACCTATGGATTATACGAATTATGGTTCCTAAATTATACTCAGTTTATTGATTATTGTCTCTCACGTTCACAGCCACATTTGACTTGATCTTGTACAAATATTATTTGCTATTTTATGGTGTCTGGTATATAAACCGAATATGCATGAAATAAAGGATTCGCATAACAGAAGCTGAAATTGGTGTTCTGGACTCAATTGGAAGGACTAGACGGACGAGGGACCAATAAGAATGCTAGAATACTCATACTGGTCGAACGTTATTGATTTGGCACAGTGTTAAGATTAGACAAGTCGTATTTCGATTGATGGACAATTCACGTGATAAAAAGCTGGACATAAAATCATAAAAGGTTAATGCTCATCCTCTTGACTACTGAAATATTTTATGTAGATGAGATCATGAGTCAACTGAAGCTAGACTACCATGGAAAACCTGGAAGCACAGGACAGCCGTTTCATCCTATTGTGGGACACCTCAGCACTACACACCCACGATCCCGCCTCGTAGGATTCAAATCCAGGACCTATCAGTCTCGCACCAGAGCACTTGACCCATAGAACACTGAGTCGGCATCCAACGAAGTTAATGTCTTAGATCAACCAATTTACGGTTTTCCATGGTGGTCTAGCTTCATTTGACTCATGATCTCAACTATATAAAATTACTAAAATCCCCATGAAACCTATTTCTATTACTAAAATATTGCCATAGATTAAATGAATATGATTGAATATTGAATAAGTATGCAGTGAGCATACACTCAAGTGTGGTTATTCAATTCATTACTCATCTAAAAAGGATAGAATTATTTGATAAAATGTGAAAACCATACACTGAATACTTAAATTGTAAATCCTTCCGTTCATTATCTTAAACTTCATCGTTCTTTCATTGCTAATACAATTACTCTCTATCCTCATCCTCTTAGATACTATCTTCTTAATTTTCTGACATCAGACATTCCACTTCTAATTAGTGATAAATACTACTTATGTGTGTTAACATTATTAGTATAAATAACGTGTCAATTCGAAACAGTGACTTTTAATAATGTTCATAATGATAGTACTTAACGTGAGCAAGAGATTATAATGTAATAATGTAATCAAATCGCGGCCAGGATAACTCAGTGGTAACGTTTCTGACCGTCAGGGAGCACCAGTTCCCTTAAAATTACAGGTACACCTGGCTGACGAGTGCCAAGTAGCACGAAACCCGGGTCCAGAGTTCCCTTTTTGACCACCTCCAACCACCATCTTATTTCAACGTAGCGCACGTAATGTTGAATCACTTAAACTGGTGGTCACGCTGCAACTTAGTCGACAGTATTTGACCTTCGCTAAGAAGGACTAGACACGCATGACATTGATCACCATCCAGTGATCAATCAGTTGTGATAAGAACTCTGTGCTACATAAAGGTAATAACAGTGAAGTTATCTTAACAAATGTGTTCATAAATAATAGTTCATGAGGATATGAGAAAATGGAAAGAGTTGGGTGTCTGAATTAATGAAAAGGTAAAATATTATTAAATGAAGCTTTACATTAGAAATGAAATGAAAACCAGACTAAAATGTTGTGATTCAATACAAACTAGATCATGAAAACAAAACTGGAAAGATAAAGGAAGTAAAACTGAACAATGAATTAGTTGCCAGGGCAACACATATGAAGCATAAATTCTTTTAGATGACGAATAGTTACTGTTTCTATGTAACTTAAACGTTTGTTATTATTACTCTTTGAGATATATTCTAAGATTTGTGTTGGATAGTAACCTTTCTGTTCTTCAAATGTACATACTACTGCTAGTACATATAAATGAATAGATAAACTTGGGATTAATTAGACAAGTTCTATAGTCCCAGTTAGATTCTCTGAACCGATTTTGTTCCATACATGATAAGTAAGTAGGAAAATGGAAAAATTGAAACAATGCCAGTTCTTGAATTATGTCTATTCTACACTCTAAGACCATCCCCACTGAATGAAGTTTGATAAACACACTCATTTTAAGATAGAGTGCGCATCGAGCGACCTAATATACGTGGCTCCATATTAGCGGGTTATTTGATAAATGCACATACATTTCGTCATATTCGATAAATTATCCTTAAGATTATGGTTTGAACATTGATCGGTTGGAGAACACTATTCATAAAGTTGCTACGATGTTTGTTCTTTTTAGTGGATTGGAAATTCTCCTCTTTAAGACGTCTGTAATTTTATCCCTCCTAAAATAGATGTTTGTTTCTATTCAATGTCTTGTTTCTATGATCCCATTGAGTACAGTTCACCTAAATTTCAACATTTCATCTTATTATGCTAACAACTATCCCTTACCAATTATAATTTCCCTATTTATCCTTAAGATTATGGTTTGAACATTGGTCGGTTGGAGAACACTATTCATCCAGTAACCAATATAGCAACATAGTGAAGCCTAGTTGTCCCTTTTGGAGAAGAATGCTACATTAAATCACGCCGCAGCTACCGAGACTCAATAGCTACTTCTGCATTGCTTACGCAGAATCATTATATCATTCTTTCTTTCGGTTTTTATTTTTTTTTATTTTTTGGGCACACTCATTTATTTTTTCTTTTTGAACCAACAATAATTATGCAATAATTATTTGTAGCCTTCGTAATCATTTGTGAGTATAGGTAAAGTGGATGATTAGATCGATCTCCACCATCTAGGTTACCGCTTACGTTACATCATGGAAACAATCCTATGATCCAGGAGGCACGACAAGAACATGTGAGTCGAGTTTTGTCTCATAATTATTGTTAAAAACAGACTACAATCTGAATTCACCTGACATTGTTTACTTATATCTTTCCATTGTTGTTTAGGTCTTCAAATAATCAGTCTCTTGTTAACATATATGCATCCTGTATGGATTACCTCGATAGTCCACTTCGAGTTACCATTCTAGTT